TGGGGACGGGGAAACACCCCTTATCAACAAGGGTGCCTGAATGAAGCATATTTGTATACCTAACCCTTAACTGTATCCCACAATATCAAAATAAAAAATATTGATATATCAAAAAAAAATTATTAAAAAAAAATACTTCTACTATTAAAAAAAAAATTAGCTGGGTGTGGTGGTATGTTCCTACAGTCCCAACTACTTAGGGGGTTGAGGTGAGAGGATTGCCTAGGCCTGGGAGGTCAAGGCTGTGGTGAGCCATGATCATGCCACTGCACTCCAGCCCAGGCAACAGAGTGAGACCCTAATTCAGGAAAAAGGGCGGGAGAAATGGCTTGCAAAGATTGCAAGGCTCTGGGCTAACGTTTTGTTGTCTGCTATGTTTGAGGGTTTTTAAAAAGAGTATATGGAGAAAGAAAACCAGCAGCTCCCATGCATTCCTCTACCATGGGGCTCATGGAATTTCATGGCAGTCTTTATTTATGGGTAAGGTTACATACACTGGGACTATGTCTTGTCTCTCTTTGCAGTCCCGGAGGTGCCCAGTGTGACCCCAAACTAGCAGGTGCTCCACACATGTTGGTCAAGCTGTGGAAACTCCAGAGGATGACGGCAGTTAGTGCGGTGACAGGAAGGCCACCCCCACCCCACAAGGAGTGGTCAGTAAGTGGGACCTCCTATTCACTGAGCGATCCTGCTAAAGCCCTCCTCTGTAAGGAGGGACTGCCGAGAGCAGAGAATGGAGGCACCCCAGATGTCTTGTCAGACGTCTCTGAAGTGGAACTCTAGCTAGAGTTTGAACAAGTGCCTCGTGGTTGTCTGGTGTCTGAAGATCTTGGAAGGGAGGGAGGGAGGGAGGTTGGTTGGTTGGAAGGAAGGAAGGAAGGAAGGAAGGAAGGAAGGAAGGAAGGAGGGAAGGAGGGAGGGAGGGAGGAAGGGAGGGACAATGATCAGCCAAGAGCTGTCCAACCCTCTTTGCCCTGACTCGTTCTCCAAATCCCTGTTTTGAAGGATGTGTCTTAAAACTACAGGTCCGGTCAGGCTCAGTGGCTCAGCCTGTCATCCCAGCACTTTGGGAGGCCGAGGCGAGTGGATTGCCTGAGCCCATGGGCTCAAGATCAGCCCGGGCAACTTGGCGAGACCTCACCACCACAATAAATGAAAAAAATCAGCTGGACATGGTCGTGCACACCTGTGGTTCCAGCTACTAGGAAGACCGAGGCAGAAGGATCGCTGGAGCCCAGCAGGTCGAGGCTGCAGTGACCGTGAGCATGCCATCGCACTCCAGCCTGGGTGGCGGAGTTGAGACTCCAACTCAAAAACAAAACAACAATGACAAACTACAGGTCCATGGTTGTTGAAGTTATTAAGAATTCTGAAGATCTTCCTGGTGGAAGCAACCCATTTTGGTGACGTTAAAGTCTCAGCTTGTTCTGATGGGTTCGAGCCTGCTTACGTTCACTGCTGGTGCCAGTACTTCCCTTGAGCAAGTCTTTGGGCTTACAGGGGGCGGGGGGAGGAAGAGGGAGGAGGACTACCTCACTCAACAATGCAGGGAGGAGGGCAAAAGCCACCCGGGACACCATCCCTGCTCGTGACCAACTAGTCCACCAGAGCCAGGAGATTCAGAGCTGAAGGGCTCTCACCTCGTGCCCTGTGCTTGTGCTCTGACATCTCATGGGCACCTTCCCGTTCTTTCCATTTGCTTTGGGGTCTCAAAATGCTCCACAAAACTGCTTCAAAACAGAGCATCTCTATCTCAGCTGGAGTCACAGTCCACTAACTTCCTTTGGCGTGTCCTAGGGGACCTCTCTAGGCTACTGGGGAAGCTGCCCCTGGAACACAGGCTGAAACCTAAATGGGTCAGCATAGAATATACTGGTATAGGACCATGGGAAAACATTGCTATGGTGTCTATTGCTGTAGAAGAATCTTGCCTGTGTCAGCACAGGATGATGAGAGGAGGGACACACTCACGCTTGTGAACACACATCCGTCCTTCAAACATCAGCAGAACGTACCCACGAGCAACCCTCACAACATTCTTAGCTTGCTTTTGTTTTCTTGGACCTCTGAAACATATAAAAAGAATGTCTTGTGGTACCTCTGGGGAAACGGGACACATGCTAGGTGTCCTCGTGCAGTGGAAGCTGAATACCAACAAATCATGCCTCCATCTGGTGCTGAGGTTCCAAGTTCCATCCAGTGAGACCCAAGAGGTGAACTCATGCAACATGAACACCATCCAAGATAGAGAGAAACAAAGCCGTTTTGGATGGAGAAACGAGAAGATCCTATTGTGAGAAGATCAGTCCTACTGGATGAAGACACCACCACGCTCCACAGAGCAGCTAGGAGAAACAACACATGCCATCTTGTCGGATGCAACAGATGACAAACGCTGGCAAATAACCAGACACCCCACAGTGCAGGGCAAGGCAATCTGCTAACAGCAGGACTTTCTGCTACGGTGGAAATAAAGTTAGAAGGCACTGCATTTATTCATACTATCAATAAAAATATCAATGAAATATAAAATTATATGAGCACATACACCTCCATCCAAGCCCTCAACAATGGCTTTCCTAGTTTAACTTCTGTCTTATTCGTACAAGGCCAAATGCGATATGTATATGATTTTGCCTCAGCTAAGCCAGTCTTGCCAAAGACCCCTCATTCAAGGGAGTGGAGTAAAGTGGTTAAAAGTGAGGGTTTTGCAGAAAACCGAAGTCCACATGTTCTCACTCATATATGGGCACTAGACACTGGGAACACACGGGCCAAGGATGGGAACAACAGTCCCTGGGCACTGCTATTCACAAATGCGGGGAAAGAGGGAGGGGGATTGAAGGATGCAAAACCACCCACTGGGTGATCATGCGTCCCACCCTGGCAAGGGGTGTGCTCATCAGAAGCCTGAACTTGCAATCACACAACACACCTGTGTGACAAATCTTCACCCTGGATTCTAAACTAAAATTGAAATTGAAAAAACTGTGGTTTTGGGAGCTGGGCTGGGATCCACATCTGGCTAAGTACTTACTGGCTGAGCAACCTTGGGCACTCAACGTCTCTGGGCTTTCTAGCTATAAAATGGAGGGGAGGCAGCAATGCTGACGGAATGGAATGCTTATGTTAATTAAATGCAACATCTTAAGGGCTTTGCAGATAGTTTATGCTCAGTAAACTATGGTTGCTCCTACTTTGGGAGGTGTGAGGCCCAGGAAGTCAAGGGGACAGGTTGTGTGTTTTTCACTCATGCACCAAATGGCCAATCTCTGGGGTGGGCGTCAAGGAAAGAGAGGAAGGAAGGAGAGAGGTTGTCTTGTAGCCTCAATGGGCGTTTTCCAAGCTGCCTATTCCTCAGGCCCCTCCTGATGCAGAGTGGTTCTCTAGTGAGTCCCTGCTGGGAATATCCTAGCCTGGCTGCCATGCTGGGATGAAGCAAAGCTTGAGACACACTGCATGAGGATAGCTTGATGAGGACTCCGCTACCTTAGCTGGGCAAACATCTTCCAAAGACTGTCAAGGGATGCAGGAAGCATAGAGCGGACATCAGCCAGACTAAGAAACTTCGCGATACTTGAGGCCCTGGTCAGACTTCCAGCTGTAATATGGCAGGAATCTGTTTCTACATCAAGGTCCCTGGAGGAGAACAAGGGTAAGATTGTCCAGGCTAAAGCCTTCTGCCTTCTAGTTCCAGTCATCTTCTCTAGGGGAGGATAGAGCTTAGGGGAGTGACTCCCACAGAGTGCTGAGGGGCTGGCAGGGTGTCCAGCCCCCAGAGAAAGGTCACAGGGAATTGTGTCTACTCCATGCCAGCTCCCAGAAGGCCAGAGGCCACAGTCCTCCAGAAAGGAGGCAAGTTCCCCCTGACTTTTCAATAACCTGTGCACCCAGCTCTGAGAAGAAGTTGTTGGTTGCTTGAGTCCCCTAAAGCAAGCAACTGCCCATGAAAAGAAAGCCAAGTCTGACACTGAACCAAGGGTCTAAGGCCTCCTGATTCTGGGTTGTAACATTATCACTTGTCACTTTTCCATCTCCTAGTCTCAATTAGGTCTCAAGAATCCAGGAATCAAAGCTTTCCTTGGGCCCTCACAGTACTTGAATCATTTATTTTGATACATTTTAATGCATTTAATACCACTTTTGTTGGGGTGAGTACATATGCTTTTTAAAACCCTTTGAGGTTATTGTGTATTCATTTATTTTATTTTATTTTGAGGCTGAATCTCACTCTGTTGTGGTTGGCTGGAATACACTAGCACAATCATAGCTCAGGGACTATAGGCAAATGCTATCACGCATGGCTAATTTTTTGATTTTTTTTTTTTTCCAGGCTGGTCTCGAATTCCTGGGCTCAAGCAATCCTCTCGCCTCAGTCTCCCAAAGTGCTGGGATTGCAGGCACGAGCTGCCTAGCCTGGCCTTTTTATGTATTTATGATAGTACACATTACAGGCATGAACGTTCTGACCTCTGCAAAATATGTCACAAAAAGTATGTGAGACAAACTATTCAATATGGTTTTTAACAAAATAAAAAGACTTACCTGAGCTGGCAATGTCTCGCTGAGTATATATTTTTTAAAAAAAATCAAAGTCCTTAATTTATAGATTGTCTTCAGATATCACTACATTCTTTAAATCTGTTCTTAGATGGGATTTTCTTTCTTTCTTTTTTTTTTTTTACTTTTTACGTCTGGGGTAATGACACTAACCTATTCCATATGTGCCACAGACAGCAAATAGAGACAGTCTTGGAAAACATAACGCCAAATGTTACCTTTAAAGTTCAAGGCAAATGACATCCTTCTCACCTTTCTACACATTCCTTGACAACAGCAAAATTTCCATCTCCTATTGTTCTTCCGACTTTATATCGTTCTGTGATTGTGGCTGGAATCTGGAAGCCTTCCTCCGACACTTCTGAAAGAATCATTAATACTTTTTTATTGGTAGAAAAAGGGACACAGATGTTGGACTGGGAAACATTTAGAAGTATCATTGGATAGACTGGCGCTGATTCAGAATCAATATGTCATTTTTAGGGCAGGGAGGTAACCACCCCCCTCCCCCGATGACATTGTATAGACTCAACAGTTTCCAGGAAGACAAATGATTAACACAAGGAAATACGCGGGGTCCACCCCCACATAGGCAAGCGCAACTTGGGTTTTCCGCTCTAGTGGGGATTCTGAGGAAGTTTGTTTGCTTTGCTTCATGCCAATTTGATCAGCAGCATTTGCTGGTTACCCGCTGTGTCTAGAGAAATGGCATTCCCACACACGGACGCAGGAGGACAACACTGTTCGCGAGGGACTCTGGGCTGCTCCATGTGGGGCAAGCATAAAAATCGCCTCCTGTTTGGACGCTCAGTTTTACTACATCCTGAAATGGAGATCTCCGTAAAATTCCTTCTGAACTAAGCAGTGACGGCCACCCGTCCCCAAGATCCGAGAGCAGGTTTCAGACAAATGTTCCCACCCGCAACCTGCGTGGCAGATGGCGAGTTAAAATGACAATATCTCTTACGTCTGTGAACGGAACTGTTTTGTAGTTTCAATTATGTTAGTGCCACTAACACATCGTGTTTTCCCCCTGAAAAATACATTCTGAGATATTTTACAAATGCCTAATAATGCTTTAAATATCAAGGCCATAAAACGAAATAAGCTGCACTTAGGTCACATAAATATGCTGGATAACCTTTAACATCTTAGGGGTGTAAAAAGCCTTTTACAGCTGGGCTCTAAAATGTACTCACTTTAAAGTTATAAATCCTGGTTCTCCCTCAGGCAACCTGAATACAGAATGTGATGGAAGACTGGTGTGTTTTCTAAATGTGTTCCTCTTCTGACCTCTCACCATAAACTGAGGGTAAACATTCCTCCTCAAAATAGAATTAAAACCTTAGGCAGTGGATGGGCTTCGTGGTCATTTTTGTATTCACATTTGCTCCATATTGTTGCAGAAAGACAAACGGAGACTCAGAATCATCAATATCTGCACTGGGGCCTTCTTGTGAAGACCGTCAGTCTTGCACCACTCTAGATTCTAGAGTGGATGGAGTTTCTGGAAAGTGTTGAACAAATGCAGGACATTTGTTACTGCCACTTTTCACTGGCATTTATGCCATCTCTTCACCTCTTTATTATTATTATTGTTGTTGATGTTATTATTATTTTTTTAGTCTGGGCCTCACTCTGTTGCCCAGGTTGGAGTGCAGTGGCATGATCATGGTTCACTGCAGCCTCAATCTCCTGAGCTCGGGTGATTCTTCCATCTCAACCTCCCAAGTAGCTAGGACTACAAGCGTGCACCACCACAGCCAGCTAAATTTTTCATTTTCTGTAGAGATGAGACCTCCCTATGGTGCCCACGCTGGTCTCAAGCTCCTGGGCTCAAGCACACCTCTAGCCTTGGTCTCCCAAAGTGCTGGGATTACAGGTGTGAGCTACCACATCTGGCTCTCTTTACCTCTCTCAATAGGTGACATTTTACTCTTACCCTATACTGGAAGCTATCTAGGTGGTCTCCAGAATAAAGTAAGGGCCAGGGTCAACCCCCTCAAGCCCATCCCACCCCCAAAGAAGCTACAATTTTGCCTCTGCTTGAAGAACTCAGTCTGGGGGTTTTTGTGTACTCAAAGCCACCAAATTTATAAAACATCCAGATAACACAGTCTTAAGGCTCTTCACTACACGACTAAAAAAAGTAACCATCCTTGGCTGGTGGGGTAAGTGTGACCCTCTGGGAGGAAATGAGAGAGAGCACCTCCGTTATGCTTTCCTGAGGGAGCATACATTGAGACACCCATCCAAAGCACACTTGGGATTTTTTTTCCTGTTGATAAAGGGCACCTTTTAGGCTTTTGGTTAAAAAGGCTCAGCCAAAAGCTTAGGTCAAGAACCATTTCAGGCCGGATGTGGTGCCTCACACCTGTAATCCTAATACTTTGGGAGGCAGAGGTAGGAGGACTGCTTGAGCCCAGGAGTTAAGGACCAGCCTGGGCAACATTGCGAGACCTCATCTCTACAAAAAATAAAAAATAAGTCAGGTGTGGTGATGCATGCCTGTAGTCCCAGCCACTCAGGAGGCCGAGGCAGGAGAATTTCCTGCGTTGGAGGCACTGGTAAGCCGTGATTGTACCACTGAACTCCAGCCTGAGCAACAGAGTGAGACTTTGACTCAAAATTAAAATAAAATAAAATAAAATAATTTTAAAAACGTTTTATTTCACCAGGAAAACACATTGGAACAAAAGAAATTTCTGGGTGGCTGAATTTCATACTTGTGGAAATAAAAAAAGTCTGACACTGCATAGTGGTCAGCAAATTATTTTTACATAAATCACATATCTCATTTAACATAATAAAAATACTTCCCTTAAAGGGTACTTTCTTTGGAAAAAAAATTTAAATCATATCATTTAAAACAAATGAGAGGAGCAGACTGCTTTATAGTGGCTTGACTGTATCACATTTATACTTTTCCAAATGCTTTCCAGAATTGATTTGTGCCTGATAGCAACTCCCAGGGAGGAACTAGGTGAGTATCACAACCTCCAGTTTTTAGAAGAGAAACTAAATGTGCAGAATTGAAGAGCCTTGTCCAAAACAATCCAGTGAGTTAGTGATAAAGAAAGTTCTAGAACCCAGGCCATTTGACCACATCACAGAGAAATTCAGAAGTGAATTAGCGCAAGGATAGCTCTGCAACTTGCACCCATTAATTCTTTTTGTAAAGGTATGCTTTCATAATTGAGTTCACTCAAGTTAGGGTACATCTGTGGGACTGTAATGGTCAGGAGAGCACCGTTTAGTATATCTTTAATATACTAAAAGTGGCTGGGCTCAGTGGCTCAGCCTGTAATCCCACGCTTTGGGAGGCTGAGGTGAGTGGATTGCCTGAGCCCACGGATTTGAGACCCACCTGGGCAACTTGGAGAGACCTCGTCTCTACAGTAAATCAAAAAATCAGCTGGGCATGGTAGCGCATGCCTGTAATTCCGGCTACTTGGAAAGCTGAGGCGGAAGGATTGCTGGAGCCCAGCGGGTCAAGGCTGCAGTGGCGTCAAGGCTGCAGTGGCCGGGAGCGGCCACTGCACTCCAGTCTGGGCGACAGACTGAGACTCCAACTCAAAACAACAACAAAAAAAACTACAAGTGAGCAGAGTTTGGGAAAGCAAAGGCCACCATTATCCCCTCTTATCTCCAAAGCAGACAACAGTGGGCCTTGTCAGGATTATGTATGCCTTCAGGGGATGTAAAAAAAAGTCTCTAAACTGGACCAACTCGCTCTTCCCATTCCCAGAGTAGATAACCATTCCCAGTTAGGAGCCATATTCAATTCTGTCCCCTGGCAATTGACCCTCAAGAGCTCCTTAGGCTTGACCATGACCTTCTGTCTGAAAAGTTAATAGTTTGTTGGAGCAAATTTAGCCAACCCATCCTCTGCCTCCTCAGATAACAAGGCCCACGCCCATCACCTTCTCCAGGGCCATCGTTCTCGTCCATAGAGCTGCAGACTTTGGTGGATGCAAGTGAAGTCGAGGAACCGCCATGCTGAGAGCTCTGTAAGGGGACAGAAAGAGAGGATTTAAAAACCAGGTCTCCATGTGCTACGCCCAGCCTGGTGTCTCAGGAGATAGATTTGCCCACCACCAAGGAGGATCTGGTCTTAAAGCTTGGAGAAAGAGTTCCTTAGTGTGATCACTTAAGGGCCACCTCTCCCTCCTTCCCTAATCACCAACGATAGGTTGTGATGACAGAATCAGGCAAATTATTGTTAACTTGGATATTCCATGGCTTTTTATTCCTTTTGCTCAAAAACAGCCTCTTTTAAGCTCACTGTTTGGACTGGATGGATTTTGGGCATTTCACCTCACTCTTCCACCGTCTGTCGGCAAATGGGCCTCAAATATGGCATCATTCTGATCTCACCCACTGTTTTTACAATAAAAAAAGTTTTTCATCAGTTTCTTTTGATAAGATATCCCCCCAAAATAAATATTCAGCCTTACCATAATTTTAGGAGAAAGGTTCAAGGGTGGGTTTGTTAATTCCACTTTGAGATAAGGACACAGCCCTGACCAGGTTACTGGTTTGTTAAGGGTTACACGATAAGTCTGAGGTAAAGACAGGAATAAAAGTCTAAGCCTGGAGATTCCCTGTGGCGAATTTTCACCCAAGACCCATGAGAGCAAACAGGGCAGCAACTCTGAGAGAGTGCAGAAGACCAAACCATACCAAATATTTAACACTGTGATTGGCTGTGGGGCAGTGCTTTAACAATGACTGTTTCCATCTCTGCATCTATCTCCTGGGAAAACAATTTGCACATTTCAATGCTATTTCTAAATAGTGAACACAGCTTGTCCTAAAAGATCTTCCTTCTGTTTCCCTGGGTTTATCCACTTGGTTGGCCTGATGGGAGCAGGAGGCGGTGAGGGGGTGGCACTGGCTCATGGTGCCGGCTGTCTGTGGAGCAGAGAGAAGGGAAAGAGTGTCTGTAGTCGAATTAATAATGAAGAGGTGGCGAGAAGCACAGCTGACCTGTTTTTCCTCTGCTTACCTGTTTCCTGTCAACCCCCTCCCCCATTCCATCTAGCCTTTAACCGCGGACAAAGGGGGAGGGAAGAGAGTTTTATATAATTTCATTATGCCCAAGCATCCTGCGTAGGAAAGTCAAAGATTTTAGTTTTTATTTTAGGAGACGAATATAGCTGGGGAGATGCTACCCAGAGCACGGCAGGGCCATCATTTTTCTGAGTGTGACTAAAATGAGTGTATCCCATTGGGCAAGTTCATAAAACCTACCAGTTGACATCTTTGGGATAAAAGTTAAAGTGATAGTAATAATGCGTGTGCTGTCCTAGAGAACATTCTGGAAGTTTTGTGATGACTTTTGTATACCCCTGACTGTCACACAGTTCATGTATGTGCCCCTTCTTTTCCAATAGCATAAAAAAATCCCTCCCCATCCCGGTGACCCTGGTGACTTGAGCTCTTTTTCCATATTTCCTCACCCAGCCCCTACTTTGTGACCAGGAGAACACATTTGTCATACATCAGGCCAGAAAGACAGATTCAGATTGTAACCTTGAAACAGAGATTTTCTTACTGTGATACCATGTAATCCTAATGCACTCTGTTGAAGGGACTGGAAACATATAAGCTTCTAAGCCGCGCTCTGCTGACTTTTACAGATGGATGTCTGTTTGTGAAAACCTTGTATTTATGATATTGCAATATGAGGCTGAGACAAAACAGACTTATTTTGTCGATAACTGGAGAAAATAAACATTAATGCAATTGCATTGGAGGAGAAGGTGTGTGTTTTCCAGAACAAGAGGATCCTTTATTTCTTTGTCATTGTTTTTGCTATAGACATAATGGTGTTCCAAGTAGAAAAGCACTAAACAAATGTTTCAAATGTAGACCTTCTCTTTTAGGCTTTCTGGTCCTTGAAATTCTTCCAGCAGTGTTTAATAATGCAGACACATTGTAGTTTAGGGTGGCAGGTGCTGCATTGTCATATGGTGGTTTAAATTTGAGAATACAAAGACACATTCTTTCACCAAATTAATAGACCAGTAATGTGTTTCCTAGCAAAAATGTCCACGATTTAGACACTCAATTCCAAAAGCTTGTTCTTTTAATAAGAACACCAGGTACTCAGTACAGAGCTCTGACCCAAAGTCTATGAAAACATCTTTTAAACCATAACATTCTATAAACTTGCTGGATACTATTCTCTAAACTGCTTATCAACTAATGAACTGCATTTTCAAAAATGCCATCAAATGGCTGGTCCCTGAAACCTTGCCACAATGCCAGCTGTGTTTTCTCCACTTTATGAACAAAAACATCTCAAAGTTTTTCTGGTTAAAAAAAAAAAAAAAAAGTAGAGTTAACACAAGTTTGCTTATGCTTGCAATTGCTTATTTTCAACTTTAGGTTTGTGTTTTTGAAAATTTACCCCAAATTATTTCAAATTTCCTGCTGTCTGAGAGTAACACACGTGGGATAGTATTAAGAGAAAAACATATTTACTGACAAACAGTGGACTCTGAAAATGGAAAGTTCTCATTTTATTTTCAAATGCCTCAACTGAGTAAAACAAACGCATTAAGCTATTCTTTTTGTCCCCCACAGAAGATAGTTAACACTAAATCACTAAATTTTTTGCCAAGATAGTGACCATTCCTGGACTCAAAGAGTTTTAGGGACTAGGACGGACCTTAAATATTTCCTATTCCACCCTATCTCCATCTGGAGAACAGATTATTTTCTACAGAAATCCCAGCTGGATGGCCAGGTGGCCTCTGCCCAAACACCTCTGGTACCGAACACACTATTTTCTGAGGCAGCTCCATCATTGCTAATAGGAGGCAAAGAAAAGGAGGTTCTTCTTTAAGTTATGTTGAAATTATGTCCCTCTACGTTTTCCATTTCCCATCTTGCATCTGTAGAGCTAGGCATCATTTGTTTTTCACACAGCAGTGCTTTAGTATTTGGAAACAGCTACCAGGCTCCTCCTGTGTCCTCTCTTTTTCCATCTGAGTATTCCCACTTTCTTTGGTTGTCCAACACGGGACAGGGCTCCATGACTTCCTCACCCTCCTTTGGAACCACTCCAGCTGTCAATATCGCTCTTTAAAGCAGCTTCTCAAAAGTGAATGCAGTTTTCTAGGTGTGCTCTCACCAGCGTAGGACAGAGAAGGATCGAGTTTTCTTTCTCGTGAATCAACTATTAATTCACGTCAAGGTTTGATGGTTGTGTATGGATGGAGCCTTAGCCCTTCAAGCTCATACTGCGCTCACAGGTATGTCATGTTCTCCTGTGTTTGGGAGGTTGCTGTTTGGAACCCATGGATGCAACTGATCTAATCAAGGTAGAAAAAATCTCACCCAATAACTTTAGCTTTGGTTGGAGGAAATATTTATTCATGCTTGGTGTCTTCTTTATTCTATTCCTATCCTTCCTACCTTGTTATTTTTGAGAACTCTGATTTTTGTCACCGAACGTATTTGCTGTCTTTTATTTGAAGCCATTTCAGTAATCAGCATGGCTCTTTGAGTAAGTCTGTTACTAATCCACCTAAGTATTTTAACTTAGACCCTGTTGGAACATTCTGATTACTTATGATTCATTATTCTGATTGAAGGGTTTAAGCATAGTAAAGGGAAAACGTGTAAGTTCCTGCTCTCTGGAACTGACCTAGTAAGATAAAACAGACTCGGTTTATGACCAACAGAAGGTGAAAAGCCCACCTATGTTTGTGACTGCTCATACATGAAATTGGTTGGCCTATTTGGTTTGTCTGAGCAGATAAGCCATTTTACAGTCCACATGCTGATAAGATTTTATGTTTGCTTCAGTCAGTTTGCTAATTCCAAGGCATCTGGGTGTACCGTACAAAACATACAGTTATTTTAAAATTTGAGGTAATTAGCTGCTCTGAGAGATGTTGTAACATTTGAAATGTCATCGCTCCCAAGCAGATTTAATGGGAACCACTCGGGCAGGTTGTTGGCACCTGGACGCTTTTATGGCACACCTTCATAAAAGCACTGCCCTAAGTAAGAACACATCCTAAGAGTAGCTACTTAGCCTGGGATCATATAACAGATGGAGAACATATCACACGTCTAGAAGGAAGTGTGAAAGCTGACTTCACAGCTCTAACCACATTTTACCAAGATGTATCTGATGCTATGCAGTGAAAAACAGACCATTTTAAACGGTATGAGTTACTCCTGCCATTTGTATGAATGTTGTCACTCAGGCTGGGGTCCACACTGCCTAAAGATTTTGAAAATATCCAATTGGCGCCATTGATCTATTCAAGGTAGATCAACCAGGGTACCTGCATAATGAACATTTGTATACCTACCTAACCCTGAATTGTACCCCACATCTTTAAAATAAAAAACTTAAAAAAAACAATCTTATCTGATAACTTTAGCTTTGGCTGGAAAACTACTATTTCCACTTCAGCTTTTTGTCTTGACATAGTTATTTGTTAATACTGATTTGAAAAATGGTTTAAAAGAATTTAGAAGTCAAGTAGCCACTGTGTTCTGATTTCTGGATCAATTTTATAAAGGAAACACAACCAATAAATTTTTAACAAACTCAAACAGTTGTCTTGGTGATGTTGGTTTTTAGGTCTACAGAAGCTCTAAAGGGGACCTCATGTAACAAAATTAAATAACAACGGTGCAGAGAGTTTAAAACCCACAGGATTCCAGAAAAGCCATATATTCATTTACTTCTCAAGTGAGTGTAGAACAATAAGTTGGTGGCATTATTCTGCAATTATGAATAAGGCTCCATTATTTGAAACAAGGCACAAAGGGGACTCCTTTTTTCAAATTCCTTTGTCTGCATTCTTCATAGTATGTTCATCCTAAATAAAGTTTGTGGCACAGGCAGGCATGAGGACAACTAAGAAAGAATACTGTGAAACATGGAAAATGGTATCATAAAGATTTGGTCACGCCGAGCACAGTGGCTCAGGCCTGTAATCCCAGCACTTTGGGAGGCAGAGGCAAGAGGACTGCCTAAG